AAGCTTTTTATGGTTGACCTTGACCTTTGACCTTACAACTTTTTATTGGATATCTCAAAAACGATTATACTTACAGAAATAGTAAATAGTGAAAAATGTGAAGGTGACTAAGGCACAACTTTTTTACATTATTATCGAAGAGATTTGACATATCCTTAAGGGGCATAACCCCGTTAACGGTTTCTGAAAAGACAAAATAAGCTTTAACTCTTGAACCAAAGGTCATAGACGTGTCGCTTTCATGTTCACGATTTGTATTGGTGTCACAAATACCTATACGGAACTCACCCTGTGAGTCGTAAAATTTTGTCGGTCCGCAGTTACCTGTCTGAAACCTAAAAACCTTGTCATCATTTAAACACCGTAACCGTAAAAGGTGGAAAAAAACATAAAGGGTGGAATTTGTTCAGGACCAGACCTTGGTTCTTCGTTATATTTGTGTTGAAAAGATCCAACGACTCATTTATAGGGTTATGCCCCTTTGAAAATTAACCGATGTCGGTTGGCTACTAAAGTTCAGAAACTGTAAGTCGTAGCCACCTAGGATCTTCACCAATGTTCCTCAATTCATGAGACCTTGAAAATGCCTCAAGGTCAAATTTTTACGTTGACCTTGACCTTTGACCTAACACCTTGTTATGGGATGATTACAGAAACCATCATACTTACAGAAGTTTTGAATAGTGGAAAATGTTTGGGTCATTAAGGCGCAACTCTCTTACATTTGACCGAAGAGATTTGACCTTGCCGTGAGGGGCACAACCCGTGATTTAGGTTTCTGAAAAGACAAAATCAGCTTTTACTATATTAGCAAAGACCCTAGACCCATGGGGTCTTCAGCAATGATATAAGAGACTAATGACCTTGACAAAGGTCAAAGGTCAAAGTCATGTCCATGATAGCAAATTATGCGTTTTTGACCTTATTTGAATGGTTTTAGGTGTGTTTTAAAGCTTTTTAAAGGTTGACATTGACCTTTGACCTTACATTTTTTTATGGGATTACAGAAATCGTGAAGAGTGAAAAATGTTTGGGTCATTAAGGCGCTACTTTTTAACATTTGACTGAAGAGATTTGATCTATCCGTAAGGGGCATAACCTTCGTTTACGGTTTTTGAAAAGAAACAAATTTAGCTTTAATTATTAAACAAAAGGTCCTAGACCAATGGGGTCTTTTGCAATAACATTGTGGACCAATGACCTTGACATAGGTCATAAGGTAAAAAGTCAAGGTCGTGTCTCAAAATTGCGAATTATGTGTTTTTGTCCATATTTTAAGGGTTTTATGTGTGTTTTAGAACTTTTCAATCCATTCTACGCTTATTTAAACATATATTTTACATAACGAGAGGGAAAGACCTCTCAATTGTTCAGAAACAATTGACATTTTAATTATTATTATTATTATTATTATTATTATTAATAGTATTATTTCTTTCCATTTTTCGGTGGAAAGACCTATTGTATTTGTTCTGATTTTTAGGTCTTTCCACTTTTCGGTGGAAAGACCTATTGTTTTTGTTCTGATTATTATTTTTTTTTCTTCTTCCATTACTTTTATTTCTTGCGTATAAATTTTGTTTTGCAAGATGTCGCTTAGATGTTTGGTATATGATATCGAACAGTTTATGCGTCTTTGAAATTCACACTGCATAACCGAATATTTTTCTTTGTAGGAGTTATCTCCCCGAACACTGTTTTCCTTGTGACTGCATCTCCTCCGTAATCGTATAAGAAAGCGACACATTTATTTTATAAAATTTCTCGTTATATCCTTCGCATGATTTGTCCAATTTTGACCGAAGCCATACGAACACTCCATATGAGAGTTATTTGCCCTTATGCATTTGATATAAGTGATATGCATTTCTATCTTGTAAACCATAAGTGATAGAGACCTAGGATCTTTTAATTTGAGGTCCTTGGTCCTAAAAAAAAGAAAATAAGGTCAAGGTCAGAGGTGAAAGTCATATTTAAAATTTTGATTTTGGCTTATTTTCAATTCTTTTCAAAAACCGTATAAGATATCGATAACATATTTTTACTAAATTATAAGTTGCGACATGTCGTAACACATAAATGTTGGCTGAAAGGGTACACTAACATTAAATTGGAGTTTTCTCCCCTCTTATATTAAAAATGAGGCATATAGTGATATAACTCATTAACCATATTTAATTAAGACCTATGGCCTTTGATTTTGAAGCCCTTGGTTTATGACCTTGAAATTGAGCTCAAGGTCATAGGTAAATTTGACATTCTAGATATTGACCTTTGCTTTTACCTCATATGTATACATGATAAAGCCATGGGACTTTTTGCATTACGTTGTAATCCACTTGACCATGGAAAAGCCAACCGGAAATGACCATGTGTAAACCGGAAGTAGCTATTTTTGTGTACTTATTTAATGTAAAAGTATATTAAACCATGTATTTTGGGATTCAGTATCAGGTAATCTATAAAAGAAACCCGGAAGTGACATTTTTCAAACCGGAAAATGTATCTCCCTTATTTAGAAAAAAAATGTATAAAAACCATATATTTTTGGAACCAGTGTACAATAAACTATCATTTGACGCTGGATATGATATTTTAAACCGAATTTTAATAGTTCTATATCAAAATAGATCTTTATGGGTGGAAAGACCTTCAATTGTTCTATGAACAATTGGTTTTTAATTATTATTATTATTATTATTATTATTATTATTATTATTATTATTATTCTTATTATTATTATTATTATTCTTTCCACCAAACTTTAACGACATTTCCCCAAAAAAGTACGCGACATGTTGAAATGATTTTAGGTATCAAGTATCGGTTGACCAAAAGCTATCTTGTGGTTAGGGCACCACGCCGCAACATTTCCTTTATAACGGCTATCTTCCCTAACACCGAAAACCTTGTTATCATTCAAACACCGTAACCATAATAGTTAGAAAAAAAAACCGAAGGGTTGAATTTGTTCAGGTCCAGACTCTTGTTCTTCGTTACATTTGAATCAAAAAGATTGAACGACTCATTGGTAGGGTTATGCCCCTTTGAAAACCTAGGATCTTCACCAATGATCATCAATTCATGTGACCATGAAAATGTCTCAAGGTCAAAGGTCTAGGTCATGACCTAGATTTTGACTGTAGCTTGTTATTGGATTTACTCAATAACCGTAAGAGATGGCTGATTGAATTTGTAATGGAGAAAATGTGTGTCTTATCAAGATCTACGTTTCTTATGTGGGTCCAAAATTATTGGACCAACTATTATTATGGACCTAGGGCACCACAACTGTTTTTCGGGGTCCGAAAAGAAGAATTTTAGCTTATAACTCAAACAAGGTTAGAAATAGAAGAAACTTTGAATTGAAAAAATGTTCAGCATAATATGACTTACAAAATTAGGTCAAGGTCAGAGGTCAATGTCCATAGCATTGACATAAAAAACCTTAGCAACCATACATGTTTGAACTTAGAAGGCTATGAATAATATAAAAATGAAATTTTTAATACTGGCAATTACATTTTGTCCCTAGCAACGACATATAAATCCTTAGCAACCATTTATTTCTTTTTAACTTTAGTCTATGAATAGTAGATATGACATTTTTAATACTGGCAGAAGTACTTTTTTCCTAAACAATCATGTTTGTCCTTAGCAATGATGTTTGTCTTTAGCAACCACTTGTTATGCACATGAAAGTCCTTAGCAACCATATGTTTTTGAAATCAGAAGATTATCAATAGTATAGAAATTTATTATTATTTTATTTTCTACCAAACTTTAACGAAATCCCCCCCCCCCCTAAAAAAAAATGTGACATGTTGAAATAATATTAGGTATCAAGTATCAGTTTACCGAAAGCCATCTTGCGGTTAGGGCACTATACAGTAACTTTCCTTTATAGCAGTTGTCTCCCCTAACACCTTATTAAACTAATAAACCTTTATTATCTCCTTTTCTCAAAAATCATTACAAATATCGATAAAATGGTTTTTTAACTGTTCCTTGGGACATGGCGCAACTTTGATACATTCAAGTCGAAGTTATCCGTTGACTATTAATAGGAGTTATCTCATCTTAAATACTTGACGTAAATGGTATGTTGCTTAATCTAATAAGCCGTTAGTCGTTAAGGCCTAGGACCTTTTGATTTGAGGTCCTTGATACATGACTATGAAATTGATGTCAAGTTCAAAGGTCAAGGTCATGATTGGTCATATAGGGTACAATTGCTCAATTATTCACTATGCATTATCAATATGGTACATTGTCTGTTTGGAACCTGACAACTAAAAAAAGTATAGAATTCTGATTAGATTCTGAAATTAAACTAATCATCTGCTGAAAGTACATAATAAATCATTTCAATGAAAACAAAATATTAGCATGCTTATGCACTGGAACTATCCTCGACAAACAGTGGTTAAGGACGCTCTAAAATTCTGCACTAAATGACACTGCATAATTGTCAGTCAGCCTATTCCAATAGGAAATAAAATGTCAGAGAAATTTTCAAATGTATCACTCTAACTTATAGTTATTTTGGCACATAAATGGTTGATCTTTCATAAAATTAATCAATTAAAAGCATATAACATCCAATCATGAACCTCACAGATTTTTATTCTTACTACTTGAAGTAGTACCATCTTCAAAAAGTTCCCTGTGAAATGTAAACAAGCTGGGGACCCATGGTGAAGTGGAGTGTAACATGATTTTAGCGTTAATCATAGATATACCACTAAATTCCTCCTATCAAGAGACAACACCTGTATGTTGGTTCGACAAGTGTATGACAGTATATTTTAAGAAAAAATATGGAAGGAAAGACCTTTCAATTGTTCGTGAACAATTGACCTTTAATTTGAAATGTAATCATGCCATGCAAAATATAACAATATGTTGTAATTCATGTCTATCAGTCTATCATACTATATCTGAAACATAGTATTGTATAGTAATAACGTAAGTGGCCACAGAAAATATTCTAAACTCACGGATTCTGGTTTCTTCTTGGGCATAGGAAGACATCTGAAATAGAAAAAAAAAAACAAAAACAAAAAAGAGAGGTAAGTTTTCGTTTGTTTCTATGTTATGATGATGATAACAATTATAGGTTGCAATTCTGTAAATATTGACAATTCAGTTTCCCATAGGAACTCCTTTTTACGGCTTAAACTGTACCACTTTTACTATGAAGTTTCGTGAAAAATTATATCCTAGAATTGAAAGCTCATATGCACTACTATTTTTTTTAAAGGTCAGAATATAAGGCTGTGCGGCATATTTTCAACTTTTATATGCCTCGAACTTCTAAGGGTTTAAATTTATACTAAAATTCTGTACTACCCCTCCCTTCACTTTGAATCTTCCACAGATTTAAATTTGACCGCTATTCATGTGAATTTACCCTGGTAACATTCTACGAGATAAAAACTAGAGATCATATCTGGGAACCAGTAGGTAAACAGAACAAAATATTTATGAATATTATATTTCTCCCCAAGAGAGGCGTTTTTTGTGAAACAGCTGTATTTGCAAAGTGTAACCTATAATGATATTAATCATAGTCATAAGATCGTCATAGTCAACAATAACTGTGTAATGGTGTGGAAGAAATCAGGTTTGATCGACTTGAAAAAAAAATTACAAATGATATTTACTGTCGCGGACGACCGAGTAGAATATCCGTTTACAACGATTTCAATTTTTTTTTTCAGGAAAAAGAGTTTGCTTTGTTATACATCAAAAGGTTTCCATAAGAAAGTTGGCAACAGAGATTAATGAAGATTAACTGATAAAAAAAACTGCGCAACCAAAGGTCATTCAACCAAATATTACACAGAAGACGGAAGGTTGAGTATTATCATCTCTGTAATCATTGGTGAACCCTGGTGCTTCCGTTATGCAAATGTAACCACCAAAACCAAAACTGAAATCGTCTCATTTTTTAGCGAAGATAAGATTTATGTTCACTATTACTAAATCAACTTTTTTGGTTCTTATACATTCTTGGCTTTCAAACATTCTGCTTTATGCATTCCTGATGAAGATAGATCCAGAAAAGCGCTTCGGACGCATGAAATTTATAACGTGTTGTTTTCAATTTTAACAGCACTGGGTCGATAAATCTGCTGGTGGACTATCAGTCCCCGAGGGTATCATCAGCTCAGTATTCAGTACTTCAGTACTGACATGATTTATAACAAAACTTTCTAAAATTGTCCGTTAATAAATTTTGAAATTATTAGAAACTAAGGTTTCAACTCCCTCAGGCAAAGTTGACCTTAGATGGATTTGTTTTTTTTTTCAGGTCTTTTTTAGTAATATTGCTCTTCAACTGTTCCGGTTCTTATACATCCTTAACATTCTAACATTCTGGTTTGAGCGTTCCTGATGAAGGTAAAATCCAAAAAAGCTCTTCGGACGCATGGATTTTATAACGTGTTGTTTTCATATTTATTTTTCATTTTGAACGATTTTCATTAATATTTGTAGCGTGTATATGATATACATGACAGGTTTGAATAAAATAACATAACTATTCAATTAAACTATATCGTCTTATTCAATTATCAGTAAAAAACGTATTGTTTTGAAAGCCTTTCAGAAGATATCATTTCCTTAGTTTTTGTATTTAATTAAGTAAACCACAAGTATTCGATACATATGCTAAAATATATAGCTTCGCGTTTGATTAGTATAACGAAAGTATATCTGAAACACTGACTTAATATTCCAAATAATATAATTGTCTTTTTAGGTAACGTTATTATTTACATATTAAATGGCTCGTAAAAATGCCAGAATTACAAGCTTGTTAAAACATATACTGCTTTGTCTTTTGAAATTTTTTGTACATATTACAAACACATGTGCATTACCCAATTCCAGAGTCTTGTTCCATCATTTCCTGAAAAAACGAAATTATGAAAAGAATATATGTGTCTGGTAATTTTTAACAGGGATAATGCAGCAACAAAGTGGTTAACAATGTTTCAACATGATTAATAAAGGCCATCAGTGAGTGAATTTTTTCGATTATCAATTGATTATGAAACTAACCTTTACGAAACAAACAACATGTATAATAAAGATAAAACATATTTTCCCCCGTTTCCAAATTTTGTTTGTTATATCGACATGATAGATTTAATTTTAATCTATATTGATATTTTTTACATTATTAATTTTGTTAATTTTTATTATTTAGACAGGAATGAAGGAAATGTGTATATCATGTATACATTTTGACAGATTGTTAATATTTAGTTAAAGAACTATTAGTACAATCGTCCATAACAATTTTAACAAGTAAAGATAAGAAGTAAGCCTGCCGAAATCTCATTTTACACTTATAAGATGTACTCGGTAAGTAAAGACAAATTCTTTCAATCTTTCAAGCAAAGTATACCTTTTTGTTACTATTCTTTTAAAGTCCCTTTTTGGTGTATTTTACCGCTTAGGATCAACCAATTGTATAAAGTGTAGTTTTCTATTTCTTGTTTTTAAACATTGAATTAAGCAATATTAAAGTTGGTCGTTCATGTAGTCCTTAGAATTAACCAAACGTTATCAACAACAAGTGCCAAATGTTGAAAACTTTTAACAACGATGAAGCCTTTAAGCAAATAAATTATATATATTCACTGCCTAAAACATCTATCAACAAAAAAATAATTTTAGTACATTTAATTGCCGTTTTGGAATATTGAAATAAGACAACCCCTGACCGAAACACGAATGGATTTAACGAGTGAGCAGCAAGAGTTTAATCCATTGCGGCGTTCGGGCACAAATGGTCATTTTTTTTTATATAAAAAAAACAAAATTTTGTTATACTTTTTTATCATATAGAAACATGATCAAAACTATTTTCTGTGCTAATGACAGTAGTTGGACTGACTTTGTGAATTGTTGATATCACTGTACTTTTGGCCTTTGAGTATATATATATACTGTTTATGTAAACATACAGCTCCAAGACGGCAGGTCGAAATGATTATTCCAGCTTTTGCAAGTATTGTGAGGCAAGAAGTTGTTTTAAATGAACCTAGGCAATTTATTGTTGATATGTGACACACTTCATCAATTAATGTGTTTTAAGTATCAAGGAGCACATCTTCGGTCTGAAGTCTTAAGTATAGTTCCCGTAAATGGCGGAGAAACGAGTTAATTTACATGTGAGACAATCGGAATTGATCATGAAAAAAGTATATAAGTCACCATCATCTTTTTAGTACATTATCTAAATCGATCATGTTACACATTTACATTTCACCGAAAAATAGTTTATTATTTATAAAAGGCCAATTTAACCTTCATCAAGTACACTTAAAGCCCAAATGTAAAAGCAAAGGATGTATGAATACCGGGAATACAATAGGAGCTATATGACCAAAAGGGTCTTAAAAGGAATATCCACTGTCGCCGTTACGAAGTCAATTTTGACATATTGAATTGAAACCTATATTTTTTAACGGTCAATTCCTGTAATGTATGCTATGAATTATATCCTTTGTCAATTTTCGTTTCAAAAAGAAGTATGTTTGTTTTCATTTCACGCCATTTTGGCGGGATAATAAATGTTCATAAAATAATCTGTTGTAAGACCAAAATGATGTTGCTTTTAATTTTATACTGGTTTGTTTATAAAACGGCTGTTTCTGTTGAATTCTATGTATATATTGGGAGAGACCTGACTGTATTTCTAGCACTCTCCATTAAAATAATGGAAATAAGTTGCTACCACATCAGTCCTTACACTGAACTTACTTACTGATTAATATAATACATACCGTAGAACATGTAGAAATCGAAGTTAAATGACAATGACAGCTTTTCGCTTTTTTTTAGGGAAAACCCTGAGGTAAATAAATAAATAAGGACAGCTAGCAGGACATCTGCCTTAAATATGAATTTTGACATGTTGCTCGAAACTCAATTACAATTTCTGAGAGAAAACAGGATAGCACTATAAAATTGAAATGCTCTTGATGCAATTTTCAGACCTGCTTGCGAGATATTATAAAATATATGTATCACTGATAATGCATTGTAAATATGTTTTATTTAAAAATAAGAAGATGTGGTATGATTGCCAATGAGACAACGCTCCACAAGAGACCAAATTACACAGAAATTAACAACTAAAGGTCACCGTACGGGCTTCAACAATGATCATAACCCATACCGCATAGTAAGCTATAAAAGGGTCCGATATGACAAACGTAAAACAACTCAAACGAGAAAACTAACGGTCTTATTTATGTACAAAATAATGAACGAAAAACAAATATTTTACACAGCAACAAACGACAACCACTGAATTACAGCCTGCTGACTTGGGACAGGCACATACAAAATGTGGCGGGGTTAAACATGTTAGCGGGCGCCCAACTCTCCTCCTAACCTGGGACAGTGGTGTAGCAGTACAACATAAGAATAAACTATACAAATCAGTTGAAAAAGGCTTTACTCATCAGATAGATAAACATAGAAATGCATCTAACAAAAACACAGAGTGAACGTAACAGGGTACTTATACATCCCTGCAACAAAAAAACACTAGACTGAGAGTACTCGCAGTTACTGCATTTGCATTTTATGTTATGCCCCTCTCATCCAATTTGTATACAAAAAAAAAAAAAAAAAGAAACACTTGTACGGCTATTTGTAATGAGTAGCACTGGAAATAGACCTTTATCATTCACAGTCTTTTTTTTTTGTCATTGTTTAAGATCATAAACTTAATCATATAAGTTTATGGTATTTTTTTTTTAATTCAATCACATTTCGTATGCTTGAATGCGTAGACATACGTAAAAAGTTGAAAGAGTATGAGTTTAGAATAAAATGACTATATTATCTATAATCATCACAGTTATACAATATTTTTTTTAAATATATGTGATGGGAAATATTTATAACAATTCTGCAATTATCTATGATTATTACCTTAAAAAAAGCAATCGTAAAATAGACATGACAAAAAATTGAAAACAATAGATTATGGAAGGACTAACCTGAATCAAGAGACACGTTTTAAAAATTTTAACAATTTTAAAACAGCTAATTCGAATATTCAGTTTTTTTGTTAAATGTCTAATAACATGAATAATTAGCATTCATTGTGCAATGAAAGAATATTTTTTTAAAGAGGTAATTTTAAAACTAAATTAGCAAATGACTTGCTTTATGTAAGACCGTTTAAATTGTTAATAAATGAGAATGTTGACAAGGCAATTTTTGTGCACGGGATTTTAAAGTAAGTTCTAGTACGAACAAAATTGATATTTAACACATTTTGAATGCATTGAGTTACAGTAAGTTCAGAAGGTTTTTAAATTACCCCAACTTAATCTTTGTGACGAAGGTAACACATGCCAAATGTTTACAACTTTTAACAAATAAAGCTTATAGCAAACGTTTAATATATGTTCAAACCCTGAAACCTCTATTTCGGGCCCGGTCTGAAAGTCTTAGGAATATCAAAAACAATGTATGAAATTACAATAATAGGGCATATTAGCCCTGTTCTTCAGATCAGAAGTATATATTTTTTTACATTAAATCAAAAAAGGTAAAGTTTTGACACGACATAACTGTCACTTTATTTGAACTTCAGACAAAACGGTTATGAATGCTGGAAATTGCAGAATTTTCATAAAAACAATGGGTCTATGCATAAGTGGTTTTATTCCTTAACAAAACATGACGCAGGAGAACATAATTATAGTCTTTCTAATCGCCGTTTTTTTATATATATCAAAAGTAAGACAAAACACATTACCAAGCAGAGAAAGGATTAAAGGAGTGCACAGCATCAATCACAATTGGTCTCATTTATTATACATGTTATATGCAAAAACGGCGATTATTTAATACTTTTTACTATATAAATAAATAACACCAAAAATCTTTCTGTGGCTCTGTCGTTACTAGGACTGTCTTTATGTATTGCCGATTTTACTGTACCTTTTTGAATATATATGTATTACACCTGTTGCATACAGTTTTCAAAACGGCAGGTCGTCACTTTGAGAAGATTGATCCAGATTTTGCAATTATTGTGAAGCAGAAATTGTTTAAAAATGAACATGGATTATACTTGTTGATATGTGACACAGTTAAACAATTAATAAGTTTCATGTACTAAGGTGCGTATCTCAAGTTGAAATTAAGTCTCACGTGAGGATCAGATAGCGGCAAAAGTCTCGAAGGGTAAAATAAACGAGTTATTTTGCATATGTGAATATCGGAATTTATCATTATTAGAAATTCATGAACATCCCCATCTTTTTATAACAAATATAGAATAGCATATAGCTTATTCAATATCACACCCGTGTCAACCCGAGTCACCAATATTATCCCATGAGTTCTGCTCGAGGTATTATATTTGAGGAGGGTTTATACGTCGTGTGATATTAAAAACGCCATATCGTAAACACTTTACTATTTACCTCTAGTAGATATTTGTCCCGCTACATGACGTAAAACAGATAAGGGGTTTGATAAAGCCTTTGCAACTTTGAATGATAATTTGGATATGCCGTCATACATATCAGGGGTTTGATAAAGCTTGTGAAACCGTGACTGATATCGATATTATCGCGGAAGGCTGATGCAGCATAATTGTAATCCTAAATTTATTAACACTGATTTTTAAAAAAAAAAATTGTCATGTTTGTTAACAGTCAATTTAAGTAAGGTATGTTAGTAAATTGATTTTAGTCTTAAGCGGTCATTTTGATCTTCCAGATCTCAAGTACAGGTTGAACCACTGATTTAAATGTTAAACAAAATATAAATTTTCTGTAGGCTTTTATGGAAACGTTGTTAAAGTCACGAAATCAAATATTCACGAAAATACAGTTCCTCATTCCGTGAAAATTGGTACCCCCGAAAATA